AAAGAAGACTTGGTTTTCAATTATGGAAAAGAAGATTACAAATTAATATTGCTCCATCTTTCTTAATTAAATACTAAAAATTTTCGAAAAGAAATAGTGCCATCAAGCTACTAAACTCATTAAAGAAAGATATTTTATAAGAAACGGAATCAAATTAAAACACATATCTCATTAAAAATGTCTTTCTTCTCTAATTCTGGTGAAAATGTAACAAACAAAAATATTCATAGAAATAATAAATTCATAGAAATAATAAATTCATATTAAAACAGAGATGTTTAATTAGTGTTTGCAACTGATCAAACATTGTTTTCTAAAGTTAGTAAACAGGAAACATACGTAAGTCTCAACGAAACATTAGCTGATTATAATGTTTTCCTCGAAATAATTATGATCTAATATAATCTTATTTTATATATATATATATATATATACAATGGTAGCCAAAAGTGTGGACACTTTTTGAAAGTTTCATGTCTTTCAACTTTGTGTGCTTGTAGAATATATTAATTTTTACTTAAATACAAACGTTTCTATATCAAATTTAAGGTAATTTAATGTAGAATTTAATAATAAATACAGTATTACAATATCTGTATTACAAAGAAAGTTATGCAATTAATAGTAAGATCTATCTTATCTTAGATTTGCATTTTTTTATAGTGATACTTACACAATCAATACTTAGTAGGATAACTCTTAATTTTTAAGACAGCTTCACAGCGTCTTTTCATCGAGTAAACGAGTGTTTGGAGTTCATCTTTCGTAATCACATGGTGCCAAGAATCAATTATAGCTTCACTTAATTGTCTTTTATTGGATGGACGTTTTTTTCGTTCAAGAATTTTCAAACGTCGCCACAAATTTTCAATTGGATTGAGATCAAGGCTGTTTCCTGGCCATGGTAATATATCTATGCCTTTATTTTGAAACCATGCTTTGCATACTTTTGCTGTGTGGCATGGAGCTGAATCCTGCTGAAAAATAAATGGTTCGTTGTTGGAGAAGAGATCCCTGATGGAAGGTATCAATTTTGGTTTCAGGGCAGTTTCGATGCATTTTTTGGCATTCAGGATGCCATCAATCACTTGAATTCGGCAACCACCATCTGCAGATGCAGATATACATGCCCAAATCATGACAGTTGTTGGATTTTTAGTAGTTGCTTCAATGCAATCAGGATGAAGCGCTTCACCTACTCTACGTCTTGCGTATTTTCTACCATCACTTCCAGAAAACGATATTTCACTCTCATCACTCCAGATTACTTGCTTCCATTGATTTTCTGACCATTAAATGTGCTCTTTTGCCGACTTAACTCGTTTTTAGCGTTGCTTTTGATTTAAAAAAGGTTTTTTCCTTGGAATTCTAGCTTGTAGTCCAAATCCTGATAAGCTTCTTCTTATTGTTCTTGAACTTACTGCAATACCAGCTGCATTCATTTCACATCTAATGGCATCTGATGACATTTTTCCATCTTGAAGACATAGCCATTTAATTTTTCTATCGGTAGTAGCACTTGTGCATTTTTTTCGGCCTGATTTGGCATCCTGAATGCCAAAAAATACATCGAAACTGTCCTGAAACCAAAATTGATACCTTCNAACATTATGTAGCCATTTGATTGCAGAAAACAAAATGTTAATAAATTTATAATGTTTTATCTAGAAAAATTAGTTCAGACTTACTTGCACTGATTATCACCTTCATCACACTTGTTTAGCAATAATAGAAATAAATGCTTAATATAAGTAAAGATAATAATTTTTATTCCACAGACTACATTTTCAACTAAGTACAATGTTGTCGAAAATTCAGAAATAATACAATTTAGAAACAGTCAAACCTTTAATCAATGAGTCAAACCTTTAATCAATCCTCTTGTATACTGTAAGACTACTTATTGATTGTTTTTGATGGGATGTTAAGTTTGAAACCAACAAAATATATTGAGTCATGATGGATTGCTTTTATGGGGCCATCAAACAGAACCATTTTCCCATTTCTAACATGGGATATGGTAGAATCAAAGAATATATATATATATATATATGTATGTATATAAATAATTTTAGATTTTATTGATAAGCTAGGGAAAGCGTTTTAAAATTATCATTGATTAATTGTCGTTAAAAAAAATTGTTTGAATTATAACTAAGCAATAGTTACCTCAAAGACATGGTAATTGGATTAGCCTATTGAAGTGCCGAAAAGAGAGTCTCCTGTTGCCTCAATGGCCTAAAAGTTTCAAACATTTTACCAAAAATGTTTAAAATTCAAGAAAAAATCAAGTTTGTTGATAGACCTACAGTAGCACTCAAAACTGTCTTTTAACAAAAATATTTGTACAAATTTTTTTAAATCACTCCATATCTCTTGCTACGTCAACGAGATCGTAGGTCTGTTGATATGGCCGAAGCTACCAACTCCGAGTTACAAGATTTTAAATTCTTCTTAATAATGGCAGTTGAAAACTTTTCCGCTTTACTACTAAGAGATTTCAGGGTCCATTCTTACTGCCTCCGATTCACACATGCGATCAATTCATGTATTCACGAGTAGTTTTCTTTTTTTAAACGCCGTTTCTAAATATTCACACTTACGTATAACATTCCTTACATAATCGTATGTAAGGAATGTGGCCTTTAAGAAACTTCGTTTTTTTTTCTACCCACCCTAAGAAGCAAGTAGAATATTTAATAAATAACATTCAATGCATAGAAGCTAGTTGCAAATGCTTCCAAAATATAATGATCCAATAGCACAGGTAAAGAATGTATAAAAACTATCATGGTGAAAAAATTTGTAAAAGTACCATATTGTATGGCAAAGGCATTTCTGGTAACAAAACAAATTATGGTAATAAAATTCAAAATAAATGTTATTTGATCTCTTAATATGGCAAGTTTTCCGTCCATATTTTAACGGATTGCAAGAAATTCAGAATTTCAAATTTATAGTTTTTATTACCTCACAGTTATTAAAAACTGAATACATGGTTCTTATTTGAATCTTTAAGGTATCATGATGACATTACCAAATTTTATGACAATTACCAAATTTTATCGCACATGATAAAACCATATTTTTTGTTAATTTCACCAAAATAATTTCCAAAGAGCTTCGATTAAAATATCCAAACTCTTTAGTGTTCCCTTATAACCAGAAACACGATAAATTATACCATATTTTGGTTGCTTTAATTATGTGTTTTTTTTAGTGATTAGCCTCTTTGTGAGAAACAAAGAGCACACGAGATCAGCAAGGAGCCAAAATTTTGTTATTACTTATGTTTGAGATGAAATCTGCAATCGCCAAACTCTTTCATCTAAACTGCTAACGAACATACAGGATCACTTATGAATACAATTTTTAGCAGAAGAATTTGTGCCTAACTGTTAAATGATGGCAATGCTATCACTATAAACAACACAACTAATAAAACTATCTCAAATCACGATTATAGTTCGAGCTTCTCAGCACTTAAACATAAAGGAAAATTATCTAAAATTATTAGAGCACCACAAAAATTTCAAATAATATAAGAATAAAACATTTTTTAATTAGAAAATGAAGTAAGAAATTTCATGCACTGCTGAATATCAATAAAAATTTCGACGTATCACAAGAGTCTCCCAACCAAATTTGCACTAAATTTGATTAAAAATTTGGGGTAATTAATTCGTGATTATTATTAGCATTTTCTAATCTTAATTTTAACTAGTTCAGTTACCATGAATTTTCATATCCATGGTAATCAGAACTCTGTTAAGTCTTGCTTAACCCTCATAAGTATTCCTATTTATATATTGAGGTGTACAAATTTGTTTGTTGAACTGTGATTTTGAAAACGGTGAGAAAACATATAAAAGTATATGTTTTTTCAAAATATTAGGTAAAGAAATCAAGAATAAAGTTTTTAATTTTTGAAAATAGGAACAATAAACTCACATATACTAAAAAAACCTGAGCAGTCACTGTTTCACGAAGTAATGTACCGAAAATTCCAGTTCACCAAATTGATTTTCGTTTTATATGTGAGCTAGACAGTCTTACACTGTCTGTATGTACACTACTGGTACACTACTTACGAATTTCATCATTCTGTACTGCTTCTAGCTAGACTCATTCAAGAGCTGTGACTAAATTTTGTAGATTGAAGATGTAAAATAATTCATGATGAAAGGCTTAAAAGTGTTGATGATGTAAAGTTTAAGTGAAAGAAGTTGATATTTTCATTTTTAAATGTCCATACTTTTCAAAAAGCTGTTTTGATAAACAATAAAATATATATATATATAATTAATATACATAGAGATTCAAAGAAAAAGAGAAATCTTAAATTTTAGGAACAAACGAATTATTAAAAATAAAAAATAAAAATTGAAAATTAACTGGAGGGTGTAACATAAAGGCCAAGCCCAACGGGACACATCCGTCCATCCAGAAATCGAAAATGAGAATGTCGTGTACATATTAAAATATTTATAGCCAAGGTAACTTAAGGAATCCATGTATTCGCTATAAATTGATTTAATCTATTGCCAAGATTCTTTTTCTTAGCCTTACGCTTTAAAATGTATTGACGGAAAAAAAGTGAGAGAAATACTAACGAATTCATTCACAACATTAGCAACCATAAAACTGTTTTTAAATTCCATGCTAAAGATGAATTGGAAATTGATTTTATTCTGCTTTCAATTTAAGATTGTGGCATCGAAAGATTACAGATTATATTAATAATTTTTATTCATTGTAAAAGGATTAAATAAGAGAATAATTATAAGACAAAAATTTGGTTTTTAAATGTTAGTAAATATGTTGTGAATATTTTAGTATAACAAGAGCATAATTGTATGACTGAGTATCCTTCTTCTTAACATCTTCATTTCTCCTCAGGAAACTAAACATCACCCATACCATTATCACCCTACATGTACAAAATAATATTAGTTTTATTTCTTTTGTAATCTGTTCTTTACCACGATTCTTATTTGCAGGTGTAATTATCTTTGGATCAGATCAGGAGGTTGCTGGTGTCATGAGAGCTATTGGACGCAACAATTGTACTGGTCAGTTTTCATGGATTGGAAGCGATGGGTGGAGTGCACGTGCATTGGTATTTGATGGGAACGAACGCGAAGTCGAAGGCACCATTTCTGTCCAGCCACGAGCGCATCCAGTAGTTGGATTTGATGAATACTTTCAACGACTTACTGTGAGTAACAATGAAAGAAATCCGTGGTTTACTGAATTCTGGGAGCATTTCTTCAATTGTAAGTGGCCAGGGAGTGTAATAACACCCTACAACATATTCACGAGTGTGTGCACAGGTAACGAAACTATTACCCAAGGCAATGGATACGAAGCTGAAAGGCAACTGCAGTTTGTTAGTGACTCAGTTATGGCTTTTGCATATGCCCTGAAAACTATGCATGCTGACTTGTGTGGTGGAATTCCAGGTTTGTGTGCAAAAATGGATCCCATTGATGGAGTTTTACTTCGCAATTTTCTGAAAAATGTATCGTTTCGAGGTAAAGTATTCATAATTCTCACAGTGTTGTGATATAACAATATTTAGGTCAATTAAAACACATTGAGTAAGTCAACAATTATTTTTGTTCGACCGATTTTGAATAGGTTCTATAATTATACAGAGTGTCCCGTAAATGTTGCGACTAACTTCTAGGGAAAGTAGGGCACATCATAAGGATTAAGTATTACCTAAGATATCATGATCGAAAATGTCCTCTTACGATGCTAGGGAAGCTTTCCTATTATGGATATGTTCGTGTGCCTTTAAACTTGCACTTTTGTTTTTCTAAAATATTTTAATTTCCTGTTAATTTTATGTGATTGTTATTATTTTCTTTTACAGCCGTCGCTGAACAGCCGGCCCGATTTTTGGTATTTTACAACTACTAATGTTCAATTCCATAGCCTTGTAATTTTGAACCCAATTCATAAGACAAGAGAACTTCTGGATCAAGTAATTCGGTAAAACTTGCCTTCGTGGAGGAATTTTTGATGTAACTGACCCACATTCACGTTTGCAGAGAGAAAAACCACGAAAACCTCCCATGGTTAACCTGATGACAAGGAGACTTCAACCCATGATCCGCGGAACACTGAGGGTATTTTAAGTGAGCACTGAGGTCAGGTTTGAAATTCGTATCGACTAGCCATCGTTAGGATTCGAACCTGGTTCACCTGATTGGAAGGCGAACTCTCTATCCCCTGAGCCATCACAGCTCTTAAGTTATTATTAGTTATTGTCAAGAATAGTCCCAGAGAATGGGTCGAGAATAGGCTTCTGTTTTATCGTAACTCAATGATTAGGTGAGCTTGTCCAGTTAGTCACTAAATCAGTGAATTAGGATAAAATACCTATTACTGTACTTATTTGAAAGCAGTTTTTGAAAATAATTTATAGAAAACAAAAAATTAAGATAATTTAGATAAATAAAAGTTCCTGATGTTCAAAGACACACAATGTGACAGTTCATAATAGGAAAGCGCCCTTAGCTGCATACGACAACAATTCCGATAATGATTTCCCAGATAATTCTTGATCCTAATGATGTGACCTATTTCCCCTAGAAGTTTGTTGTAACATTTACGGGACACCCTATATAGTGGCTCTTCAGAACTTGAGTTAATGAAGGGTCTGAGTGAAAGGTTAGTGAATGTGAAGGGTTTGTTAGAAAATGATGTCAATAAGTCGCTTAGAAAATATCTATTGATCAGCTTGGTTAAATAAAAAAAAGGCTCCAGCCGCAAAACACCGTTTCGAAAAAGGGATAGATGGCATGTAAAGCAATGGTTGCGCTTTTCTCTAAACATTTATTGAGCTTCAGAGCAAGCTTCTGTACTTTTGTTAATCAATCCTGAAATTATAATTTTTAAGAAGGCCTCAAGCTTAGGAAGATCGTTGTAGTTGTAGTTCATTTACGTCGCACTAGAGATGCACAATGGGCTATTGGCGTCGGTCTGTGAAACATCCCTGAGGATGATCCGAAGACATGCCATCACAATTTTGATCCTCTGCAGAGGGGATGACACCCCTACTTCGGTAGCCCGACGACCTGCACGTGAAGTCGAGCTAGTCGAAGTCAGTTTAAGGAGGACCAATACCGCACACCCTCGGTCCCTATGCAAACTGATCCAAGTGGTCACCCACTCGCACACTGACCGCAGCCAGTGATGCTTGACTTCGGTGATCTGCTGGGAACCGTGTCTGTGCTGGGATCAGTCCACTGCGGGATCAAACTTAGGAAGAAGAACATGCTTGGGAGGTTCATGTAAGGATGGAGGGATAGCTAGGGAATCGTTGATACATATCAAATCGGCCAAACAACGGATCACGTTAAAATGCCTTTCTTTCCGCGAAATGCCGTGACGACGAATTTCTTAACATATCTTTTCATCTGCAAATTCTTTATACCAACCACATAAACGGTACTTTTTGGAATGCTTAAAGTCTGTGTTGTTAAAAAAATTACAAATGACAGTCTGAATCAAGAGTTTAGTCACACGCTCTACTGTTACTTCGGTGATGGCTTTCTCGCTCGGACTTCATCTCTAACTTCGACAAGGTCTTAGAAAATGCATTGAGTCATCGTAAGACACAGAGCTCTGATAAAATTTATCATCCATAAATGTTATATTTATCAAGGGAAAGTTTTCATTATAAACTTTCCAAGTTTCTCAGCAAAATTATTTTGTTTAATCGAGCACTACATTAATGGTAACGAGGGAGACGTGAAAGAGCTTCACAAAAATCATTATCTTTACTTTTAAGTCGCCCTAAAACTACCAAGGAACCGCACTTGAGTAAGATGATTCTTGCTCAGTCGATTACGAACCATGCAGTGACGTATTTCTGCTGCAAAATGCGATCACCGACATTAATTTTTGGGAAAATCCTACATGCTGTCGCATATAACATATTTGGGAAGGAAATCTCAAATAAAACTACATTTGTTTAGATAATCTTGTGTTAGTTACCTTTAAGAAAAGCTTGTAATAGTTTAAATGCATCTATAATATTGAATTTTGTTGATGCTTTTAGGACTCAGCGGAGATGAATTTCATTTCTCTGAAAATGGAGATGGACCAGCACGTTATAACATAATTCATTTCAAGCAAATATCACCCGGGAATTACAAATGGGTAAGAGTAGGAGAGTACTCTGATGGTGAACTAAGATTGAATCTTTCAAGCATTCGATTCAGGAGAGAAGAGCCCATCATGCCAATATCTGTCTGCAGTCTCCCTTGTGGAATAGGTCAAGCAAAGAAATACGTCGAAGGTGGAAAGTGCTGCTGGCATTGCTTCAATTGTACAAAGTACCAGATTCTCAAACAGGAAACAAACTGTGAGGACTGCCCAGAAGGTGAGCTGCCAAATTCGGCTCACACACTCTGTGTGAGTATACCACCGCAGTATATGCGACTGGACAGTTACTGGGCCATCGGCATAATGTCCTTTTCTTCAATTGGCATTATTCTGACCTCATTTGTGGTCATTGTATTCATAAAACACAACGACACACCAGTCGTTAAAGCTTCTGGGAAAGAGTTGAGTTATGTGTTACTCACGGGAATATTTCTTTGCTATGCTATAACATTTTTATTGGTGCAAAAACCATCGGACTATAAATGCGGTGCGCAGAAAATGGGAATAGGTTTATGCTTCACGATCGTTTATAGTGCTATTCTCACAAAAACAAACAGAATTAACCGGATTTTTAGATCTGGTGCGAAAAGTACGAAGAGACCAAGTTTCATTAGCCCGAAATCACAACTTGTTATTTGTAGCCTTCTAGTGTCCGTGCAGGTTATTTTATCTACTATTTGGATGGGTTTTAGCCCACCGAAAGCAATTAAATATCACCCCACTCAAGATGAGAGTCATCTAGTGTGTGCAGCTTCTATAGATGCCACATACATGATTGCGTTCGTATATCCGATGATTCTTATCATTATTTGTACAATATATGCTATCCTCACAAGAAAAATACCTGAAGCATTCAATGAATCCAAGTTCATTGGATTCACGATGTATACCACTTGCATAGTGTGGTTAGCATTTATTCCTTTGTACTTTACAACCACTGGTCATGACGAGATTAACGTGTTCACCATGTCAGTGACTGTCAGTTTGAGTGCCACAGTGACTTTATTTTGTCTTTTTACACCTAAGCTTTATATAATATTGCTGCATCCAGAGAAAAATGTGAGGCAATCATTGATGAATCCAAGCAAGCACTCTGGAAGTGATAGTAATAAAGTAGTTTCGAATAAAGTGGAACGCACAACCATATCCGAAGGTAATTTTAAGATATTCTTATTTAAAAGTTTCAAACACTTCAGTTATTCGAAGTGATTACAATCAAAGTTTCACTTTTAAACGCGCTGCAAAATAACAAATCAAATTGACCTGATGTTTTAACTTAGAATACTCGAAGCATTAGTAATTTGTTTTGAGGGAAGAGAAAAAAAATAGTTCAATGATGGACTGATAGATGGCGCTGCACTTGTCCTAAAACTGGGTAACTCCAAAATAAACTTATTTTAAGACGCTGAAGAAACACGTGACGAGCGATGCATATTACACTTGTTATTAAAATGTGGGAAAGAAGCAGTTTCTGTTATCTGAGTCTAAGAAAATAGTCATGACTAAATCAGAAGAATCAGGTTTCGTTTGTGTTGTCGTTTAACAAGAACGGTGTCTGTGCAATTCCGAACAGAGATGCATTTCGAATGTGATGGTGCGTTTGCCACGCATTTCAATTAACATTTTAAAACTAACATATATTTTAAAGCGATCATATTTCAGCCTATAGTTACATCTAAAGTGCCATCAATCAGTCAAATCTTGAAACATTTTTTCTACCACATAATAGATTTCTACTGTTTCATGTATATCAGGCCAAAATATCAGAACAAATATCATGTCATTCTAAATAGTGGTTAAAATATGTCATTCTAAATAGTGGTTTTTGAAAAGGAAACTTGAACTATAATTTTCCTAAATAATCATATTGACTCAAGTTAGTGTTTTAAAGAGAAACGCAAAGTGATATCTTATGAGGAAAAATATTTATCGTTAAGTTTTGGTTCTTTCTTTCGTAATAAACTTGTGTAATCATGTAATTTCACTGCATTCAAGCATTTCAAATTTTTACCTATCTTTCCTAAAACATCTTATTTTGTTAGTTATTTAAAATTAAGTTGAATACTTAAAAATAAGACATCTTAATAGGAAAAGGATATATTTTTCTTTAAAGGAACCAATTAAATCAAGAAAGCATGCTGCTGTTGTTACTTACGGCATTATTTGCGCTCCATTGAAAGTAAATTTGGCCACTTACCAAACAAACAAAAAGATGTTAGAAATAAAACAAAATTACGAAGGGAAATGACAGAACATTTTTAAAAATAATAATTTAAAATAAAATAAGACTTGAAACTTTTAATTATAATTTTAAGGCGGAAGGATAAAAAAAAATTGAAACAATATATAAAGTCTGCTTAAAATGAAAAACAAAGTGAATAAAGCAAAAATCAAGTTCAGATATGGACATATTATGGTTTAGGTTCTCTAAACAAGAACCTTTTTCAGTATCTAATGACCAAAAGCACCATTTTGGTGTTTAGACACTCAGGAAGGTTCATGTTTAGAGAACCGAAACAGAAGTATGTCCATTTTTGAGCTTGATTTGTGTTTAAATCACATTTTTTTCCTTCTAGTCTACGTAGAAAAAAGTATTACCTCTCTTATTCGATGTAATCTGTTTGATTAGAATATAACGTTCCTCACCTTTCAATGCATTACCGTTTTGCATTCCGTTTGAGACAGTGTTATGACTCAAATTTATACAGACCTTGGCGAACAAAGAGCACGTATCCTTTGAATATCCTTTCTCAGAGTATCCTTTGGCCAAGATATAGACCTTTAAAAGGAAAGTTACTATCATATTTATTTTAAATTTTCATCAGATTGATTATGGCTTACTTTGAATCACGTTACTATTTTGCTATTCGTTTTGATTTTTCTATTCGTTTTAATTTGGTTATTTAATTTTCCAAAATGTGGCAAAAAAAAGAAGTTTAGCTGGTTCCAAAAATATATAATAGTTCTAATGAGTAACAATCTGCTTCAAGAAAATGTACCCCCCTCCTTAAGTTTCAACATCTTATTTAAATACATACTAATGACAAAAAGTAAATAACATACTTTATAACTTTTATTTTTATATTAGTTTCAATGCGTAAAAAACGTGACATTGCTTACCTTTTATTAATTAATAATAATCAAAATAGTCGAGAAAGGCATGTGTCTGATTCTCGTTTTTTTCTCCTTCACCTCTACAAGTAATTAAAAAGTATGGAAAGTGAGTTCATACATACAAAGTGTTAACTTTCAATTATAGGAAAGAGATTTTCAAAATATAAAAATAAATTATGCGAGAATAACTTAGGATTGCATAGTTTTTTTTCCAATAATTTGCTTGCATTTGAATTTTTTTTCTTCAGCAATTGAAACTAACTCTACTACTATAGATTTGCCTGAACTCCCTTTTTTGCCATACTTTAAATTTTTAATGTGTTATGGAAGAAAAACAGTATTTGCGATGAAAATTATCCCTCGTGATACAGCATCCTCTTAAAGTTGAGTGCTATTGCCTGGCATTCATTATGTAATGATTTTCTTAGCGTACACAAATCAGGTATATTGTTATAACAAAAACTTTCGATAATTAATAATAACCGAATGAAATCGAGAAAGCTAACTTTTTGTTTATTAAATAAAGAAAATTCAATATTTTTTGATCGTCAACTTAGTAACAGTTATTTTCTTCTTTAATTATTTCTAAAGAAACAAATGCACGAGTTAATTATGGTGTCAAGATTCAACCCCTGAAATGGGACAAACCAACAAGATTTTTCCATCTCTCTGCCTGATATAAAACAATTTAACGTTTTCTTTACCATTTGTTCTCCGTCTTCCTCTGAAATATTAGCAATGAATGAAAATTATGTATGTGAAATTGATGAATTAATCAAGTTTTTTTCAGGTTCCTTGGATGCCAATGACTTAAACAGCAAGCTCAGCAACGACTCCACGCCACTTAAGAAATTCATAAATAGTGGAACACAAACATCAAATGAAAATATAATTACATGCATGCCTAGGTGCATTAGTTGTACTATAATAAGCAATATCAAGAAAGACGTTTCTACTGCAATTCTTTAATTGTTTCATTGATCAATACCCCTCTCAAGAATTCAAAACATTGAAAACCGAAGCTAGTAACTTAACTTGCTAAAACCAACGTCATTCGTAAAGATTTAAAAGCAACAATCAATCGTTGCAAATGCCAGAGAATGCTCAATTCCCTCCGCATTTAATTTCTTTTTACCTCGAAACAAATAATGTATGCAAACAATTTTCCCCAAGTTAAAAATAATAAATGAATGAATTCCTCTAAGCTTCTAGCCCTAAAGATCCTATTCATGACAAAAGCAGCAATGCGGGTGTTCGTCAAATTTCCGGATAACATGAGCTTTATATAAGTTGTTACCTACGTTCATTCAAAACTTCCCAGAGGGTCTCAGCACTGATCCTCTTACTAGTCCAACGTAACGCACATGAACTGCGCAGTGGTGGTAAATTAGAACGATGTCACTACACTCAGGCTACTAAGTTGTGCAGTAGGGAGCATTGCAAAAGATGCCATAACGTTTGGACTGTTAAAAGATCAAATTTCTTGTTTATGGTAATCCGTGTTGAATTCTTCTCTCTTCTAGGAGGTATTGGTTCGACACAAAACAAACGATCACCATTGGATTCATAGCTTTTTCGCTTTATACCGTTGTATTGCTGTTTTTTTTAAATTTCAATCCAAGAGACTTGGAAAAAACTCCTGATCAAGTGTTGGGACAAACTAATCCTTAATGAAAAGAAGAATAACCATGAAAATCTCTTTCTGTTTGTCAGAAGGATTAAACTCAAGAAGTATCTAACATTTGATATATTTCATATTAGAAGCGGACGTTACAAGCAGTGTGTAGTATATAAATACACCAGCCATCATCGGGATTCGAACCTGAGTGACCCATTTCGAGTAGGCTTTCTTTAAATGCAAACAAAATCTTAAACTTTATCTTGAACGCAAGAGATGTGCGCAAATATAGAACTGCTTTCATCTCTCAATGTAATCTAAAGCTCGAATCATCGATTTGAATTTTCTTCTTTTATAATCTTTAAACTGCGTTCTTCTCGCATTCAACTGGATTTCTGGGAATCAGTTCACATTATTAAAAATTGATAATAAAGTAATAATGATTTTTTTCAGTGTCTTTTGTTTTTTCCAAATGTATGAACATTTTATTTTTTTCCCCTTTTTAAACTTTTATTTCCATGAGATTGCATCTGCGTCACTCCGCGCGTCCATCTGTTGTCTACAACTAGGTGTTCTGAGATTGTAACTTTTATTCAAAGATCAATTTTTCTGACACCCTAAATTACTTTTTCACAAATTGATTCTGTGTTATTTTTGTAATTCTTATCATTCTTTTTCTCGGCAATGATTATATCAGTAGCTACAGTACTGAAACATGTTTTTTTTTCTCTCTATTTATGATTAGATAACGTTGCAATCTACTTTATTACACTGCTATAAAAATATATTCTTTGTTTTGTGATGGAAAGTATGTTGATTAAATAAAATTTCGTAACAATTAAATTGTTATGTATTAAAAAAACATTACCAAAGCTGTGACAAGAATAATCAATAGAAAAAGTTGAAATTCATAAACAAACCAGAGTGGAACAAACTGACTGTCATGGAAATGATAACTTGTTATTTGTTTCTTTGATGGGTATAGGTTGCAGTCCGAGGCGAGAAATTCTCACACTTAAATAGTTTCTTTGCTCTCGCCAAATGTGGTAATCAAGTTCTCGAAATGAGAATGAAGAAGAATGACGTCATTGAGAAATAATCAGATTATTCACAAAGTCAATCGAAATGCCAGCAGTGCAAGGATCACTTTCACCAAAAAATTTATGACTCTCAGGCTTCGGTTTTCAGATGTAAAAAAGAAAACAATATTTTAATCATTTTGAAACTTTGTTATTTAAGCAATCTACAATTTTTCACTTAGATTTATATCTAAGGAAGTATTTAAATCTCTTACGAGATTAAAATTATAATAATTGTTATCGGTGATAAGGTATGTTGTATAAACTACATTGAAATCTTCACAATTTCAGATTAAAGTATTTTCTTACTGAGTTGATATGGTTATGTTTTGGCTATATATGCTATTTTTTTACTTATGTTATATTGTAACATTTATATTTATGTTATGTTACATACTTTCATATTCTGTTCTGCTCGTTATATTTTAGTGTGATAGATACAAAGCGCTGTTTTTGTTGTTTTATTTTAAAAGGACTTTATTATCGCCCTTCAAACTTACTCAGGTCACTGAAGTAATCTATACCAATATTTCTGGGTTAATCTAGAAAGCCGATTTTATCAACACTTTTTTGATTTTAAATGTGATTAACTCCTTTTTTTAGTCACATTTTTATTATTATAACTTAATACTATATTTGTTAAAGATTAGTATGTAATTCTTAAATTTTATTTAAAATGATTTTATAATAAATTTAGATGTTTCAAAACTTTAACCACCAAACTTCCATCACTTACCAAGTTAAACTTCCATAAATATTTTCGAACGTAACTTCAATCAGATTTTTAATGGTGGGTTTGCTTTATTGACTATTCATTTTTGCTCCTTCTCGAATAAAGAAATTCCCTAACTTCTTCACAAAATTGACTTGGTTATCTCCCAAAATCCGACTAGAAATTTAAGTTCCAGTAGAAAACTAGGAAAAAAGACCCCCAAAGGTATCAATTACTTTCGATTTCTCAAAAATGTTTAAAAACTGTGATTGATTTCATTATTCTATTTAATAATTATATAATTTATGAGAAATTCTATGCATTCTTCGTCAACCTAAACTTATTTCATTTAATTTAAAACACTTTAGTTATTAATTAAACTAGTAAATGCTGTATTTTAGAAAATTCTGAACATATTGCAATAAATTGTAGGATTGATTGTAATTGAGCATTTCACTGTACTAGGAAAGACATTTTGAATCTAAGTCAATACATTTGAAATCCATCTTTCAATTTTATTTATTTGAAAGATATTTAGAAATTTATTTTTTACTTTATCAAAAAATTTGACTTGTCAACTTTAAATGTGTATTGAACTACGGTACTGGTTGTTCTACCATTTACAAGGCCAGTGTGGGCATGTCTTAACAAGACCTACCAACATGTGTCGACACTATTCCAACGAAAACATGTGTTCATTTAAGCTTATTGCTGGTTATTGAAACTATACAGAGTGAAAGGTAATATTAAAAATGAAAAAAAAATCCGTTTTATTCATGACATATTATTCTTCCCAGTTGAAATTTTAAAAATAAAACATGTTTATAAAAGAGTAAAGAGAGAATTTGGAAGTTATTTTTGCACTGTAATAAACTCTTTTACAAATTTTTGCTAATATTCACAATGAGATTTTTCAACTGTGCATGGAAGTGTGTATAATTGTTGCTAATCCGTGATAGGGCACGGAGAAAGTTTGACGACTAATTCAACCAACAGTTATTCGCGATATCTTTTCAATTCAATCCCCGTGTCCACATTAGCTTCGCTCACCCATCTCTGCTTTTATTTCAATTTTCTGTTAATTTCACCTATAAGGGATTTGTTTACTATATATATACACTTGCTTTAGCATTTTCTTACCTCATATAACTAACATCTATGAAGCAACTGCTGAATTCTTACTACTGGCTTAAATACAGAGAAATATAGGACCACTTATTTTTTTTATAATTTATTTTTTAACTTCATACATGTTTCTTTTTTAAAAAAAACTTTCATTTATGAAAATATAAACCGTAACAGCAAACCCAAATTTTATAATAATTAATTGACAGATATCATAAATGAAAAAAAAGGCCTAAGTATCTTAGCTTGACGGAATGTAAGACGAAATAATTAGGAGCTATGTGAGTCTCTTTCTATATCAGACAAAAAAAATCAATAGCCAAGTTTTACAATAAATAACTAATTTTTAAAGTAAATGCTCGTAAATCGGCAGACATATCCTAAACAGAAAAGAAAGCCTAAGTATCTCAGTATTACGGAACGTAAAAGGAAATAATTAGGAAATATGTGAGTCTCTTTCTATATCAGACAAAACAAATCAGTAAAGATCTAGGAATATATATACAGTTAGAAGAATTATTTGTCAGAAATTAAATTTTCTTTCATACACTCCCCCATAACCAAAAATTAATAATATTATAGACAATTGTAAGATATTATACTATATATATTATATTAAGTACTATATTATACATAGTTGTTACTCATACCATTTAAATCTGTGTCATACGATTGAGTTATTTTTGTTATAAAATGATATTTTTTGTATTATATTAACTGTTTGTTACCCATTATTATGTATATTGAAAAAGTTATTGAATTAAACAATTAAAATTTTTTTCATTTATAATCATTCATTATATAAGTTATTCGCATTATCTATTATATCATTTTACTCTAAGGACAACCTCCTGATCCGTTTTTCTACCTCGTTTCAGTATTGATAATACCTTGAAAACTGCGAAGATTCAATTTAAATTAGCGAAAATCAAATCAATTAATAAAAGCCCCTTCATGAACCTGTTTCATCATTATTAATGAATTAAACCTAATATTTTGAATCAGTGTCAAAAATTTAAATTCTTAGAAGTTACGTTCAATCTATTTGACAAATAATGACATAAATTCGGATCAAAATGAAAATACATTACCATATTTGTTCAAACTAACGAAGTCAGATTTACGAACAAGTAAAATGAGTTATAACAACCGATTCAAATTAATGGACAAGAAACTGAAAATCTAATGATTAAAATTGCAATCATGTGAAACTGTTACATATTTTTGTCCAAATCAACCAAGTTATTAAAATAAAATTATTGGCAAAAAAATAATAATTAAATAAATGAAAGAAATGAAAAAAAATTTTTATCAATTATCCGAATCAAATTATTCGAATTTTAATTCCAATCCTAAATACAATACGGAGTAATAACATAGTATAGGACAGAATTCTATGATGCAGAATTCGAATCAACAAGTTCAGATAAACTGATTCAAGTTAAAGAGTATAAATTGGGGGTGTTTCCTCTTCAAATCGTTATTGCATTCAGAATCGTTATTGCACTTAATTCAAATCAGTAGATCAGCGAATTAGAATTTCTGAACAAACAACTTAAAATTATTTAAAAAAAAGCTTAAGCTTACAAATTCAAAAAAAGGAGAACTCAATGGATTAAAAAAAGATTCAAATCAGTAGATCAGAATTACTGAATTGGATCACTTTTCAGAATTATTTTCATTCACATTATTGGAATAAAAATATAAAAATGAAACTATTTTTATTATATTATTCTGCTTAAATCACTAATTCAATACATAAACTAAAAGAAAAAATACAATAATATTCTCCATTTTTTTCAAATCATCCTCACAATTTTTAGTTGAAGAGTTCTGAGTTTAATAATTCTGAGTTCTAATAGAAAAAAAAAGAAGAAATAAATACAAATCTTAAAGACTAGTCATTTAAAACATAACTTTCGAAGTTTTCAAACTCAAAAAATCGGAAACATTTTGCAACATTAACATTACTCTCATCTTTATAGCATAATTAAAACATCGGTTAGTTATAAGAAAGCTGACTAATTTTCAAAAATATGAAGGAAACAAATCAAAAGTATTTGAAGTAATAAAAAGTGGAGATTTCTTGTAAACCACAAAGAAAATTTTGAATTTTTTTTTTTTTACTTGCTGAATGCAATTATATAGAGGGGTCTTCTGGCTGAGTGGTATCGACCGCCAAACGCTGTGAAAATCGTAGAGGTAGCGGGTTCGAAACCCACCGTAACCCTGGATCGCTTGATTCTTCGTGACGTGCTTCTTAGAAATGTTCTGTCTGTCTTTCTACTTGACAAAATAATTTGACTTTTATACACCTAAATTTAGCACACAAGCCTGCAAATGTATGCAATTTCAATAAAACAATAAACAATTGTATAAAATTTTATTTAAAAGCGTTGCAAAGTTTATGGGCAATACATGCACTGAGAAAAATAAATGCGCTCAAAACTTCCGGAATATAGTAAAACTTATTGTGTTTCTGGCTCTATGGAAACACCAAGAAGTTCACTACCATGCGAAAATTGAATCTCTTACCCGGACGGTTCCTGGCTGAAACTTTGTTATTCAGCCGGTTCCGGGAAATCTTCCGGTTATTGAAACATATATCCAAAACAATGTAAAAATAGTATGATTTTCTATCGAACAATTCTTTTATAATATATAGAGTTTTAAGGTAATTTATTGAGCGCTGATACAGATAAAATCGTATGTTTAAAGTTTTAAATTCTTTTCTTGTCATCAATTTTGAAAAATTCTCTAAAAGAAAAATCGGATGTAGAATGGTTAACGTAAGATTTTGCAACAAAATGGAGACGTCATCTTGGTTATGCTTAAGCTTTA